TGAATCGTTTCGAAATGTCTTTTTATTTTATGGTGGGACCCCTGCTGTCGGGGGGATGTAACGCGCGCATGTGCATTGTCTATCCGCTCAAAAAACGGTCGATCGACAGACGAGTTGCGGAGGGTCCTGAGTAACGGTAGCACGCAAATTTAACTAGCCCCCTTTTCGTGGGCGGACTCTAGTAAGGCTGACGCCAGAAAAACATTCGAAATCTTTTATCCTGCAAATCAATCATCTCCGGGTCATTGAAGACCGAACTATTAGTTGGGTCTCTTTTCGGCACATTATTTGATCTACCGATACAGGTACACGTGTACTGGACTCGGAGTAGATATCAGTATAGTTTGGAAGTTGGGGTTTTGATGTTGGGGTTATAACACAAGTTCGGTACTGTCATAAACTACGTGGCCCAGCTTTCGGAAGAAAGTATCATGCACATCGCTTCATTGATCGGCTCATTTTGAAAGGCATAACGCGATGGCGTTATTCATATTGGAATTGTTGTCTTGTTGTTGCTGTTGATGAGAAATGGTGAAAAGTAATGGACACAGACTCAGCATTAACGAAAGTTTGTTTTCATCAAAGCACCGTATTATTTTCAGTTTCACACACCACCATCCGGTAGACTACCAGTCTGCTTAGTATGAGAAAAACTTCAGCGGTATTGTTAGCGAATTGGAGTTGGTCGCTTCTTCATTCAACTCCATCTTGTGAATTATATACACTGCAGGACCAGGACTTTCTTCCTCTTCGGATTCGCCAAACTCAACTACACACGAATTTCCATGCACTTCTATTTCCCATTGGGTATGCTTGCAATTCATTCTCAGTCCTGGCACTACAATTCTATCCAGCCACTGCAGTCCTGATTGCACATGTGCATTTAAGTGTGATACAATGACAAAAAATCCTGAATTTTCAATATCGAATATTGTGTTAGAAACACCATGTGCGGAGAACGATCAAAGCGTTGGTGATATTGCTCACCTCCTGTACGCAGCAATCTTGCAGCTTCTGCTACAATAAGTTTGCAGTTATTGACTCCTTCATCCGTGTCAGAGAGCATTGCATCCATAGTTCCCTTTTCGAGAATCAGCTCGAAAGAGGCATTTTTGTATGATAGCTTCCGTGCATCCCCGACTTCATAGCAGATTTTGATCTCATTTCCCCTATTAGATTGCTGCCCTTTCTTTAACGTTGCGATGCAAGAAGGTGCATAGTCGACACAAACGACTTGCTTGATGATGGTACTGGGGGCGACTCCTGTTTGAGATTCGAATGATTCGATACTCTTTGCAAGGTCCCTGCCAAGCGGCACATCTCCACATCCAACTTCTAGCACGGCGATCGAACCAGATTTGCTAAGACCTTCACGATGCCTCGGTTGTTCGTTATCATCATCATCATCACTCTCTTCTTCCTCGTCTTCTACGATCTCGACGAGATCTTCGAATTTGCCTTCCCTTGACTGACTACAAATACCGTCTTCGTTGTCGTCATCAGTTCGGCCCATTTCATGTTCTTTGCGGTTATCTTCCCCCCCGCTGTTGCCATTGCTATCATCTATATTAGATTTTCCCTCGTCTAGAGGGGCATCTTGGTCATCCCTTCGCGAAGAAAGACCCTTGCTCTCTTCAGTCCTAGCGTTCGCCGAGACATTGCCATCGCTAGATTCATCTTGAGTCTCAAGTGTAGACGGCTCTTGGTCGTCTATATCGTCATCTATATCGTAATCTTCACATTCTTCACATTCTTCACCTTCCCCACTACCAAGGATCAGGGGTAAGAGGAGAGGAGAGAGATCGTCGTATGTGAAATACCAAGAATGCAAAGCTTCTGGCGAATCTTCCTCGGCACCTTTCTCCTCTCCCACCACTTGACCAGAAGTGTATCTGTCTTCCCAGTATTTTTTACTCCCATACGATGGATTCTTTTTCGTCGGCGGTTCTTCTGGTGAGGTACCTGTCTCTATCTCACTCCTTTCTCGAACTCTATTTTCCATTTGAATCACAAGAGTATTCAGTGAAATCAGTTGTGCTTTTTTTATTATTACTGCCGGTATTATTGTGGTGCAGCGAACGAAATTTGAAACTTGCCGCCGACTAACAGACGCCAGCATTTGTTCAGGTTGTGGTTGAGTACCACCAGGGATTCGTACCTGATACTCTGGGTACCAGCGGTTCTTTAACTAGTAGCTACTCGTAGACGGAATTACCGTTGTGCGTTATTAGTTGCTGCGATATGAAGAGTTGACGCACTACTTCGTAGATCAAGGCCATAAGAAGTTCCGACAGTGATAAGAGGCCGCAAAAAGATCGAAGAGCGTAGAATTGTTTATCGACAGCTGTTGTCAAATCACGCTTGAGTGACAACAGATGAGAATTGCGTCACCTCCTCAAAAAAACGGCGCGAGCAGCTGATTGCTCACAATGACCACGACTACAGACCGGTTCTGTTCATTTTTTTACTGTAGTATGGTTTATTCTTGTCTATGGAAAATGCAAATAGTCTCAACGTGGTTGCTGCCCGGAAAGAGCACGTATCCTGTAGCTCGGTCCAATGTCCAACCACCCTGACTGGATAAAAGCTGATCACAATCAGAGACCAAAGCATCAAACCCACAGCTCACATAGACAAGAGTCTGAACGTCATTAGTCCAATTCACAATTTCATCAGGTATCGTCAATACCTTTGGTGACTCAACCTGTGGCTGGTTTGAATTGACAGGTTTGCACAATTCTTTCAAAACTTCCTCCTCTAGACCTTTCCTCGGTGGATCAACGACCAGCACATCAGCGCCAAGTGCCTGTCCTGATTTCAACGCTACTCCGGCACTTGCAACCATGTAGCTTGCTTTCTGCCCAGACCGATCATTGTCTAGTTGTTTTCCCTCTTCCATCATCTTCATCATTTCTCCAAGTGTAACATCTTTCTTGCTGTCACCTCCACTGCTTTGATATTCAACAATATTTGCAGGACTATCACATAGCGCAACGTTAGGACCACTTTGCAGACTTTCTCTTCTCCATTTGTCGGACGACTTACATTGAGCTAAGCGACCGTGTGAAAGAACGCAAGTTTGCAGGATTTTCGTCACTGCATCTTACCCAAACTAACGGCTCGTTCGGCTGTTGGCTGTGGTGCACAAGAGAGGTCAAGCCGAGTAACCCAACACCTGCATACAACTCACAAACTTTGCTACCTCCTGGGATGCTCTTCGCTACATCGATCGCAAGTATGTCGAAGCCGTCCATGTTCCCCTGCCGAAAAGTAAGTGGAGTAAAGTACAGCCAGCCATATTCACCGACAGATATTGGTTCTCGAACAAACTCGTTGCCAGATAACTTGTACCAATTCTTGGAACTTCGTGTGAAAATATTGTTACCAGGACTTTCATTACAATGACACCACATGCTATGCCACAGGACGGGATTTGATTTCGATAGCTCCTTCGTCAAACGTGAAAGAGCCGGTTGAGCATATTTCAGTTCGGAAGCAGCCCATACTAAAGTTAGAGAAACTTTTCCAGTCCAGCGTTCTACTTGAAGTTGGACGTATCGCAGTCCACCTTCTCTTGATTCTCTGGAAAAAGCAGCAGTGCCTACTTTTGCTGTAGCCTTTTCAAGCTCTTGAACAGCCAAATTGATAGCAGGGTGATGGACAGCACAATTTGGAATCTCTTGGACGTCATGGGTCCCACGCCTATATAGCCCAAACATGCAACCGTCATTGGCCCAAGACGATGACCGTTCTGTAACTACAAGCTTGGCATGAGTTCGCCAGCCAGTGATTCCGGTTGGAACCACAACTTCATAGAATCCATCGTCGACTTCTTCTACGACCCAGTCCTCTCCATTCTCATACACATCCATCCTGTTTTTCCTAACCGCTGTACTTGAGAAATATCTTTTTGCAGATTGGATTACGTCTACCTCGCCGACATTTTCGTTGGTGACACATCCAGCACAGGAACCGAAATGGTCGCAATTTATTGCTCCCGATAGTCGAGCCTCGATCTCTCTTGCATCCGTGTTTGCGTAGTAGTCTGTCAAAATGGGCCTTGGTTTTGGATTCTGTTTCTTCCCCCCCCTACGATTCTCCCAATTGGAATTGGAATGGGACTTCGATTTCTTTCCTTTGTTTCCAGGTTTACTGCTCTTCGGACGACGCGATGCGACAAATAGCTCAGTCGGCGTTGCTGTGGAGGCACGGCTCTGCTGAATAATAAGTGTAAAACTATTAGTGGTACGGATAATCGCGATGCCAAGGAGGATCGCGAATGTTATTATCGGTCGCATCGACTGTGTTGGTTGATTAGCCATACCAAATACGGTTTATTTTTAATATTATTTTTCAACGGTGATGGGTGCAATAATCAATGTTACCAGCGTCGCGGTTGAGGGACAGACTTCATTCTCCATGCGCCCGGCATCAAAAGATTTGGGGGAAGCTGCAGTCGTCAGTCTTTGGAACGAAGTGATTCCAAAATTGCAAGAACAAATCACCGTCACTCAGATTACCACTTGGAATGCCGTAACAAAAGTCGACAGTACACTTTCTTGTTCAATCATCTTGTGCAAGAAGGCACTATCGCAAAGTCAGGTAATTTGATGATGTGTCGTCTCCAGACGAGAGGTGAACCATGGTGACTCCATCATGGCACCCAATCTATTCGGACAGCAAGACTAAGGACCAAGACCATTTGAGGATTGCTTTCAGTGGAGTTAGTCGTCTTGCGACTTACTAGATCGTCTGTCCATATTCCGTTCCCAACTCACTCATCACATCACCATCTAGTAGTCACTCTATGAGTTTATGTTGACGATTAACAAGTCGCTTATTGCTCTTCCAACTATACTCATATTATGCCTCCACCAACTGGAAACAACAATAGTGTAGTCACTCCCAACAAGAATGCAGGTCGTCCAGACGCTAGTCCAAATGATGCTGTCATTCCAGTGAACAACACAACAACAGCTCCACTTCCTCCGACCAACAACAAATTCACGGATCGGGAGGTGTCGACCATCGCTAGTATTGTATGGAACGAAGATCCTGCAACAGCCGCGATGGCGACTGAGCTCCGAGGAATTTTTACCATCATGCATTGAGTAAACTTCCATTGCCAGCCATGAAGCCTAGAACTGCAGCTTCTACCGCTTTAGCTCGTGCTTCAAGAACGGTTCGAATCTTGGTGTTGGTAAGGTCCGGAGGGAGACTCGCAGAAGGTGCGGTCAATTAGTCAAAGAAATCCTTGAGACGTTTCAACTGGATTGGTCCAATCGTACCGCCAGATCTTGGAATGCCAGCAAACCCAATTAATTCGGTTGCATCTTGTCCCTCAAAGTCAGAAAGTTCCGTCGCGCCTACTGGTTCAGACTTCAAGTTCAAAGCCCCAGTATGCGACCTATTTACTGGCGAGCCCAAGGAATTTTGGGGTTGGTGGGATTCTGTCCTATTGGCGTTCGGTCAGTCAGGCATCTCTGACGCTTTGACTGATCCAGAATACCACAACAAGAGCGACAGTGCTGCCAAAGCGTCTAGTGCTGGATGGTATGCCATTGCGAAAAGTCTCCAAGGTAGTCACGCCAATTGGATGTCTGGTGAGGTCAGCCGACACACCAACCGCAAAGTTGCTAATGATTTCTATGAGAAACTAATGAAGACTTTCAATACTAAAGAGAACCAAGCCCATTTCATGGTGCATGCGATCGACAGTTTGAATGAGATCAAGTTGGATCATACCAAGCAAGTTCACGAATTTATCAACGATTGGAAGCAAATTATCAATCGGTTGAATGAAAACAAGAACCAGCTTGCGACCAACGGAGAGATTCTACGAGACTTTTTACTTTGTGCATTACAGTCTGATGCCTTTGAAGAATCAAGACAATTTATTCTTAGGAACCCTTTGAAGACCAGTGATGATTACGTGGATCATATCCGAAATCGAGCCGATTCGATGAGGATGCTAAGTGGCGACCCCCCCAATCCGTGATGATGGGGACATTGTCCCTGGGATAATCCGTTGGGCCAAATCTCGAACCAAGACCAAGGGATTCGACCCTCCTAAATGGCACATTCCATTTTTTCCTAATGGATGGAAGCAAGCATTGGGAAGGGGACCTTTCAAGCGTTTGGAAGAATGGCGCCGTGCGGCTCATGGTACTAATAAGCGTCCACGCGAC